CGTTGCATTCATGTATTTCAGGCGTAGTGAGCAAGCATATGGCGACCAAAATTGATCTCCGGCCATACTACGAACTTCTACACCAATTCCTGAGAGGTGCGGTGGAGAAACATGCTCTGAAGAATCCCGAGACCGATATTTCGACCGTCGGATTCTACGATACAGGCTACAATCGTGCGTTCGCCACGACGAAGTCTTTCGCATCACGCTGCGGATGAACAGCAGTGAAAATCAGGCGATCTGGGTTCCCTTGGCCTGAACAACTTTATTCACCGAACACCTTTTCGACGACACTGTCTCCTTTGCCATGTACGCGAATACCTTTAATCCATGGCGCGTCGCTGCGAAAGTCTTTCCACTGATTCGTTGCGGACACTTTCGAGATGACCTGGGTAACGATCCCTTCAGGAGGAACGCTACGTAAGTAGTAATCTTGAATGCCATCCTGAGGTGGTTTGACGTACTTGCGACGAATCAGTTTCGTCGGACCATAGCCACCGGTATTCACTTCCCCAGTTGCGACAACGACTAGATTGGGAGGGTCACTCGTCTGAACGCGGTACTGCACATCGACGATCATGGGTACGAGGACGCCAGGGTCTTGCGGCATTGGCTTCTCCGAACCAGCATCTAAGCTGGTCACTTCGGTGATCTTGCCGACAACTTGACTCTCGCCATTCGGGTAAAGAATTTGTACCGAGGAATACTGACCTTCTCGATAGCGCGGAAGCGTGAAGTGTGCCGGAATGGGTTGAATTACCGCCGGCCAAACGCCGGGCAACGAAACCATACGCAGCTTTAGCATCAACATCTTAGGGTTGATGCCCTGAGGCCGAGCTGGCTCAAGCATAGCAATGGATCCTGGAGCACCTTCGGCCAAAATCCCCTCGACGACCAACCGAGCATCTTCCCCTTCGGTGACAGCCCATGCCCGCCACCGATCCGGCTGCTGAGCTGATGCCGTGTTCATGACGATCGATACAAACAACGCGCCAGCGAGAAACAAAGCGAAGTGCCGTGCTGCCGTCCCCATGAGAATCTCCATGCGTCGAGAAATATTGGAAAGTTCTGGAATTCTAGTCCCAGTACTCTGCGACGGTCCAATGAAACTTCTGCGACGTTCGAGAGCCAACACTACTTCTTGCATGCCCCAGCGATTGCGCAACTTGCGCAGGAATCGCCGCAGCCGCCCGCCTTTTCCGAGGTTCCGCAGCCTGGTCCACAGCCGCTTTCTAAGAGATCGGAGAATTGACTGATTCCTGCCACGGCGTTGTAGGTCTCGGCCAGGCGGCTCGTCATATCGGTGACTTCAGACGGAACATCCCCGAGAAAATCGAAATACAAAGAGCTTCCGTCGAACAGTTGCTCGACTTCGATCAAGGGAATTGCGACCCCCAGGATTGCCAATTCCTTTTCACAGGCGGCAAAAGCTTCTTGGCGATTTCGTTCCAGACGAGCAAGAAGCAGGTCGTCTTCCACGGTAATACCACGGACAATCGAGCCATCCGAGTCGGCGGATTCCGCGTCGCTGGCAGGCCCCAGAACTTCGCCAACCTCCAGCCCACGCGAGGTACGACAGATGACACGCATGCCTCGGGAATAAGCAATAGCGTCCACCGACGTAAATCGACCGACATGGCCGAGGACGCTGATACGAACGAAATGATGTCGCCCAATGGCGGTTTCTTGTACCAAAATGGTCTCCTTACCCTCATTTTCGCCGAATGATCAGGCGTTGCCAAGTGTCGATGGGCACTGACCTTACAAATCTCTGTCTGGCGTTTTAGAATATTTCGTTGGCCCAAACGCCAAAATTCATTGCCCTACTCGACAGTTAAAGAAGAGAACGCCGCCGATGTCAATGTCGACGCTATCGTGGTCCGCCTTGGCCGAAGAAGTCTTGCGTGGTCATCAACTGACCGTAGAAGAAGGTCTTTCCATTCTTCACTCGTCGGATGAAGAACTGCTGGACGTGATGTCCGCTGCGTTCAAGATCCGCCGCCAACACTTTGGCAAGACAGTCCAACTTTACCAGTTGATGAATGCCAAGAGCGGTCTCTGTCCTGAAGACTGTGGTTACTGTTCGCAGTCGAAAGTTTCCGATGCCGAGATTCCCAAGTACAACTTCCTAAGCCGTGACAAGCTGATGGAAGGGGCCAAAGTTGCCGCCGAACGGGACGTGAAGACCTACTGCATCGTCATTTCGGCTCGGGGTCCGAATGAACGGGAAATGAAGGCGGTCGAAACAATCGTTCCTGAGATCAAAGAAAAGTACGATCTCAAGATTTGCGCTTGCTTGGGGCTGCTTTCCCCAGAACAAGCAGATCGACTGAAGGCCTGTGGCGTCGACCGTGTGAATCA